TAATAATTGACCTCCGTCAAGTATTCAAAGTACAAACCATTTTAAAAGTTTAGCGGATCTTGTCACGAAGTTCATAACAATGTGTGCTGATGGCTGCAATGGCATGCCTCACTTGAGAGCGTCCCACGGCTCACATTTAAGCATGAATACTAACAAGGTGGTATTCCAAGGCGGTTTCCAATCCCAAAGTAAACAAATTAAACCTGTTAAAAAATGGACAAAATTGAGAAATACAAGGAAGCTCAATGGTGGATACTAAACCCTATAACAAACAAAAAGATCTTACTACGCAATACAGGTAGTCATGCAATAAGACGGCGAGATGGAAACCAATTAGCCTGGATACACTTTGGATGAAGAGCTTACTCTGTCAATAATAGCCGGTGACACTACAAGCATAAGACATCCGCATTTCAGAAAGATATCAAACCCACCGTTAGGTAAACGCAAAGCCATCATCTGTTGGTCTCGGTGAATCAGCGTAATTCCCACCGAGGCGGTCCATGTCACCAAAGCCACCTCATCTGGTGAACTGGCTTGATATCCCACCGGTTGCACAAAGGCGTTATAATCACCGCCCCTTGCAGCACTAGAGGTCGTTGCCGATACTTCCCCATCATCATTCATGGGAGTCACGTTGTGACATATCGCAATGGCTAACACCGCCTCCACCAGCCTCTCGTCACCAGTCTTGCGAAGCTGTTTTGCATCCATGGCATCGCCTTCCTTCTCCAAAGTGTCGTAGTAGCGTCGCAAAGTCTCCGTTAAATCATCCATGGAATCAGGTGCGAAGGCCACACTGCCCAAATGAAGTTTCTTGAATACCATTTCGTTCTGCGTCAGAGTGCCAGTCTTATCCGACAGCAGGTAGGTAATACGACCGAGCTCTTCAGGGATCGTTGTGCTACGAACAACACATCCAGGTAAATCCTTGTCCTTTGTGATAATCAGAGAATAGACAATCTTTGCCATGTCCATGTTCACCCGGAGTCTAAAGAAAACGACAAGATGAAAGCCGCTTATTGATGACAAGGAAACACATGAGCAAAAGGATAACTTACGCCAGGGGGATTATGTAGGAGAATAAGAGGAAGAAGCGCCAATAGTAGATGTACCAAGCTCCTTTAAAACCCTTTAACGCCACCATCACGAAAGCAAGAATGACCACAAAGACGAAGAGGAGTTTAGTAATGTTATTGATTTCCCTATCGATGTGGCCCATCTTGGTGTGCACCTTACTGGAATTCATAACTGATCGAGTCTCTGAGCCGCAGTAGATGACGATGCCAACAGCAGTACCGGTGGCAAGTACTGTATTGGACCAAAGGGTCTGATCTACACTCAGTGAGGCCTCATTTTTCGTGTTGTCCACACCATCACCGACATTCATGACATCAACACGAGCAAAGGTTCCTTCAAAGCTGTGGATGCGTTGGTTTGGTGCTTCAGCATAAATTTGAGCCTATAACGATGAAAAAACTTGAAACTCGAAGCATGTCGTGAAATTACCTACATATAATGGGCACACTAACCTGAATGTCAAAGAGCGCCTCAGGTCTGCCAGCCCCATGAATGATGCTTTGAGTAACTGGAATAGCTGTTCGTAGCTTCCAGTCTGTTTCTCCGTCTAACTGGTCGGTTCGAATAAAACAGGAACCGTTGGGTTCTGAGGTCCAGAGTAGCACCATGTCTGCAGGCACCCTTTGGTTTTTATGCAGTAGGATGATATCGCCAACCTAAGTCCATATTGAGGGAATAATGCTTAAAGCGTTGAAAGGATTAACGAAAAAGCACTTTACAGCGATGGCACTCATACTCACTATGGATAGTGATTTCGCTGAGCATTATTTTGAGTGCTTCAAAAGCACACACGCACATAAAGCCTATGCAAATCATATATTTACAATTAGAAGACGAAACACCATGATTCATTCAGCTAACAGTTAGATATACTGAAGATAAAGTGTTATTTCTTAAAACAAATCACCCAAACACCTGTAAAAGATGAAACGCACTTGTATCTTAGCGCTAGGGAGAGTTGCTTGACCTTTACGAATAATCTTTGTGTAGAGTGCATTGTTAACCTCTCGATCACGCAGCCATCGACGTATATCATCAACGGCTTCACGAATCATCGTTACGGCAACGACAAAACCCAGGGGAGCCCAGTAGGTGTAAAGGTAACCAACGCGCAATGGTTCAATGAATTGAGAACAGGCCATGATCAAGAAAATGAGGTTTAGAAAGACGCTGAATTGTTCGAAAAGTACCTGTAAGTGGGCAGGAGAAAAAGATAAGGTGTGAAAAGTACACGAACTGGTATACAAGAAAACTATAAACATACGAGAGGGATGAAGGAAAAAATATTGTATTTTTGGTTCCTAATAACGTTGGGAGGAAATTTTCGAAGACGACTCGGAAGTCCGATACAGACCATTCGGGATTGATACTCCTTCTTGCGTCGACATTTCGAGAAGAGCGATTTACAAGAGCTAAAAGCAGGAAATCAACAAAGCTGAGCCCTGAACTCAACACGGAGGTTATGGTAAACTATGAAGCAAATGAAATAATCAGTCTATCAACATCAAAGTATAAATAAGCAGAGCATAGAATATTGCGAAGTACTGACGAAGCTAGTGATGTACTAAAGCGTAGGACCCAGAATCTATTC